TTTATGGGAAGACATGGCAAGGAATGCAATGAATCGTAGAGGATATGGATTTTAGGGGCTCATTTGTGGCACTTACTGGAGCTGCAGGATTTTTACTGGATGAAAGCTCCAAATGTCTGCCATCTCTATATTTTGTTTCAGAGCAGTTTAGAGGGAGACAGAGCCCCAGACCACAAGGGTGCTTGCTTCTCTGCATCCTTCCTCTTGTCTTTAACATTCTCACATGTGACACTAATGGAATAAAGCTTTCAAGCTAGCAGGAAGGTCAATAGAGATTTTATAAGGCTAGCAAAGACTTATTGAGCATCATGGTATATGACTCAGTTTTCTTTATGAAAAATGAAAGAGATTCAAATTAATACTGGAAAGTCACCTGAGTCATTTAAAAAATGGTATTTTTGAATGGTGAAATAAAAAATGGTATATTCAATCCTGTCTGCTAGTTACCTAGGATTTCCAGTTTTTTAAATGTTGGAAATCTTAAATAAATTACTTCCATCATGTTCTCAAATAGTGAAATTCCCTGTACTTTGTTTAAAAAAATAATAGTAAGATTTTATTTCCCATTATTATAATGGAGGGTTTGGGGTGGTTGTTGTTGTTGTTGTTTTAAAGATTTTATTTATTGGGGCGCCTGGGTGGCTCAGTTGGTTAAGCGACTGCCTTCGGCTCAGGTCATGATCCTGGAGTCCCTGGATCGAGTCCCGCATCGGGCTCCCTGCTCGGCAGGGAGTCTGCTTCTCCCTCTGACCCTCCCCCCTCTCTTGTGCTCTCTCTCTCTCATTCTCTGTCTCAAATAAATAAATAAAATCTTTAAAAAAAAAAAGATTTTATTTATTTATTTGACAGAGAGAGATCACAAGTAGGCAGACAGACAGGCAGAAGGAGAGGGAGAAGCAGACTCCCCACTGAGCAGAGAGCCCGACATGGGGCTCCATCCCAGGCCCCTGGGATCATGACCCGAGCCAAAGACAGACACTTAGCAAGACTGAGCCACTCAGGTGCCCGTTGTTGTTTTCTAAAAGCTCATATTTATTTAATGCAATGGTAACTTGAAGGGCATTCAGTCTCCTGAAACTGTCACCTAAGTCCCAGAAACACTGAGGATTGCCTCTTCCAAAGCCAGGCTGTACCCTAAAAACCATACCAATAAGCCCAGCCTACTTGAGGGCCCCCAGGAGGTGTGATTGTAGCTGAGTCGGAAACCTCTGAGGACAGCAGCTGAGCCAGACTTCGCACCCCAGGACCCTGTCACCAACTTGACATAGGTTTACTTTCCCCATTAGTTCTGCATGAGCAAAGCCCTGGGAAAACAGAAACCGTTTCCCACATTTGTGTAGGGAATAAAGAGAGCCAATAAAATGCTTTCTACCAGTTACTGAGCATTGTGGTGGGTCCAGTGCTCTCACTAATTTTCACAACCCTGGAAGTAAGTGTTGTCCCTCTTTACAGATGGGAAAATTAAGGCTGAGAGGTGATGTGCTGAGAATTCACACCCCGTTAAGGGCACAGCCAGGTCAGCTGACTCCAAAGCACACACCACCGCCTCAAAACTTCCAAACACACTGCTACACCATGCCAAGAGCCCCAAGTGCCGTGGTTGAGGGAGGCCCAGACCTCAGTGGAAGAGCGAAAGAGAGAAAACGAATGTGTTAGACATCTGTTGTATTCTAAGCTCTGTGGCACATTCTTCCCATGCATCTTCTCCACTAATCCTCGCATCTTCCCAGCAGCCCTGTGAGGGAGGCCGTATCCTCCCCCCACCACCCCCCCAGCCCCGCAACCTACTCAGAGAGGTCAAACTTTCTGAAGGTCACCTGAGCCCAGATCTGTTTGAGTTTATGTCTTCCGTCTTATCACGAGTGTTAACCAGAGAGGTTTTCGGAGAAATAAAGATTCTTACAGTGGTGGAAGGAAAAGTGGACTGATAGAAAAGTGGAAAGATAACCTGAAAATGTTAGATGAATGTCTAACCTAAAGGGTAGACATTAACAATTATTTATAAATTATTATTGTTAGAATTATAACTTATAATCTTGGACTAAACAGACTGACCATTTTTAAAATTTCTTTTGCTTTACTAAGTTAAGCTGTCATTTTTACATGAGCATTAAAAATTTTAAGATTTCAAATGTGTCTTGTTATGAGTAGGACCCAGAAGGTTTTCCGGGATAGCAGTGAATTCCTGAGATCCGGATGATAAGAGGGCAGGCAAATCGATGTTCAGCTAGAGCAGATCCAGTAGAAGTCAGATGTAGATAAATTGGGATTCAAGTAACCAGACCTGCAGTTTAATTCAAGTATATTTTTTACATTTAAATTTCAAGATGATAAAACAAACTATAGCTCTTCCCTCCCCCCCCACCGCCCCTGAAAAAAAAAGCTCTTATCAGAGATTATTTGGACAAGTCACTTGGACTGAACATGTCTTACAGTCTTTTTAATCTCCTTCATGGTGGACTGTTACATAATAGTTAGGATTGATGTTTGTTGTCAGGACCTGGGGGCCCTTCAGATATGCAATCACCAGAGAAAGATTAAATTATGTCATATATACCAAGGCAAGAAAGAAATGAATACATTTGAAATTCTAAACAAATCGTTCTCATTCTTTTTCAGTTAACTAAAAATAATAAATAGCAGACCCATAAATAGCTTACTAATTAAGGCTTTACTTATTGTGTGCTGGAGGTAGCTCTATAACAAAAAGGAAAATTATAATCATAGTACTCCAAATATGTGATACATTCTACTTCTTTCTGTTATGTTTCTTAACAACTTCTTTTTTTTTTTTTTAAAGATTTTATTTATTTATTTGACAGAGAGAGACACAGCGAGAGAGGGAACACAAGCAGGGGGAGGGGGAGAGGGAGAAGCAGGCTTCCCACCGAGCAGGGAGCCCGATGCGGGGCTTGATCCCAGGACCCTGGGATCATGACCTGAGCCAAAGGCAGACGCTTAACCGACTGAGCCACCCAGGCGCCCCCTCTTAACAACTTCTTTATGAGCAATTTTAATAAGATTAACTTGCAGAATAAGGAGGAAGGTGTTTCTTTTTTTTCAATTTATTTATTTTAGAGAGAGAGAGAGCACAAGCATGAGTGGGAGGGGAAGATGGAGAGCGAGAGAGAATCTCAAGCAGACCCTCCACTGAGCACAGAGCCTGTCGAAGGGCTTGATCTCACCACCCTGAGATCATGACCTGAGAAATCAAGAGTCAGATGCTTAACTGACTGAGCCACCCAGGCGCCCCATTATCTACAATTTTCCAAGCTAATACTATATGTAACTGAGAGAGAGCCACAAAGATTCGGTGTATTCCTCATTTAGAGGTCAAAGGTAAATTTAGGGAATATTTTTTTTTAGTAATTTCTTCTTAGTACATCTTGGGAATAGTTTTTAAATTTAGTTTCTTAAAGCATAATTATTATCACACCTTTTCAGGTTCAAAAACTTTGAGGCAGTCATTCCTATTTTCTAGATAATGTCCAATTTCCAAAGCCTAATGGAGAGAGAATATGTACTATGTCAGGGGCAAGGGCTGCAAACAAAGCAGGGGAAGGAGTGCAAAGTGCTGAGTGATGGGGGTGCTATTTTAAACAATTCAAGGGGATTCTCTAATGTCTTATATAAGCAGAGTCACAGAGGAAGTGAAATCCATGTGGGTTTCACAGACAAAAACGTTTCAAGTCCATGTAAAGTTCTGGGATGGACTAAGCCAGGATGACTAGAACAGAGTAATTAAGAGGGAAAGGGGTACCTTTTGGGCCATGATGGAGACCTTAGGTTTTACTCGGAGCAGGATGGGAGCTATCGGAGAGCTTTGAGCAGAGGAGTCACGACTTATGTTTTAAGGGGATCACTCTGGCTACTAAGATGAAAACAGACTAAAGGTGGTCAGTGGGAGGATCATGTGGACTGGGTAAGAGGATATTGTAGTCACACAGGGAAGAGATGATTAGAAAGGCAGCAGGAGAGGTGGTAAAATGTTTTATAAGGTAGAGGTGAAAGAACTTACTAACACATTGAGCATGAGAAGTGACAAGTCAAGGATGAGTCCAGGGTTTGGGGCATGATCAGCTGGAAGGGTAGAATTGCCTCAGTTGGTGGAGAGGACTGGGCAGAGCAGGTTTTAAGGCAGAGAGTAGGAGGCAGAAACTCATGGGCTTGGTTTTTGACATGATTTGTATCTGAGACAGTAGCAGACATCTTTTAAATATCCTTTGAAATACACTGAAGTAATATGAGTAAAGCGACGCCTGGGTGGGCGCAGTGCGTTAAGCATCTGCCTTCAGCTCAGGTCATGACTCCGGGGTCCTGGGATCGAGCCCCGCATCGGGCTCCCTGCTCAGCGGGAAGCCTGCTGCTCCCTCTCCCTCTGCCTGCCACTCCCCTGCTCATGTGCGCGCGCTCTCTCTCTGACAAATAAATAAAATCTTAAAAATATATATATGGGTAAAGAAAGTAATATGTTTACAGTATGGGATCCTGTACTTGACGTAACCAGAGAATTACCTGGTATTTCTGCCCTTCATTTCTTTCCTAGAATACATTTCCCTTAGTCTCTTTAATAATCTTTGTTATGGAACTTTTGTCAGAGGCTTTATCAAAATCCTAGTAAATTTTATGTCCTGGCTCCTTTCTGGTGACCCACGTAGTTATGTTCTTGGAATTTTGGGTTCCTAATGCATGAACTTTCTAAGTACTAAGATCAGAGACTTTGGATACCAGTCATGCTTCCCCGTGCTTGCTTTATGTATGAACTGGGGCCACCCTGGAACATGCTACTTCTGTACGATCAGTCGAGCCATGGACCTTGAGTTTTGAATGCGTCCTTCCCACAGAACCGGCAAGAGTTGTAACAGCCTCATCTTTTTATTTCCCGAATCTAGCTTAGTACCTGATACAGAGGTTCACAGTAAATGTTGAATAGGTGAATGTTTCTGAATCAATTTTAAGAAACTAAATATGGTCTTTTCTCTTTTGTCTCATTTGTATAGCGCCTGAAAGCTACAAAGTGCAAGATAAGAAAATTGCTGCCTCCAGCCGGCCCTCTGCTATTTCAGGACAAAATAGCAACTACTCAGGAAATAAGCCAGGTACTCCGCGTGGCATTTACGGTAGAAAAAAAGGTTATCCCTAAAGCCTAAGGCGGGCTAGAATTTAGGAGAGCTTAGTTCCAGTCCTGCTACCAAAACACAGACAACTCATACTGGCTTTTATAAGTTTAAGTCCGAGACCCTCTTAAAGCCTTGATTTTCTCTTTTTAAAATGGAGATTCAAACACATGCCCTGCTCACCTCCCAGAATCATTTTGACAATCAGGGAGATGATGCAGGTGGGTGCATTGTTTACTATCAAGCAATGTATAAGAGGTAATCATTTTCCTATTCTTTTTTGAAATGATGTGTACGACACAATTTTTTGTACCTGTGTGCCCAGCATTATTGCATATCTTTTTTGTGACATTTTCAAAAGCCATTTAAGGAAATCTTCACACGTAGCAAAGCTGGTACAGAGTTACATTTTTGTTCTCTATTTTCTGCAGTGATTGTACACCTACACAGTAATTTCATTTAATAGCCTGTGATTCATGGTCTGTTCCACTCAGTGATACAAAGAAGCAAACAGCCTGTAAACATAAACAGTTGAATAGACAATGCAGTTGCTTCCAAGTATCCAGCAGCCATTGTGTGGCCCTTGGGAGAGACCACTGTCCAGTATGATGGTAAACAAGCCAAGGAAGGCAAAGACAAATTGAACCCCCATGAAGGCCTTGGAAGCCTACTTCGTGCAGCATCCAAGACCGAAGTCATTCAAGAACAGTGAATCAGTGAGAATAAAGATGAAAAATAACTCTTTCTAGCCGCAGAGAAAACATTCCCCCATTATACCTAGTTTATGGGGGTGGCGGGGTTCCATGTGGGGAAAGATCTTAACAGAGCAGATAAATCTGGCTTGTTGCTTAAAAGAAGGACAACTAACAAGTACTATTGCATGGACTGCATGAGCGGCCATTAATGGAAAATGATATGTAGTTTCAGTGGAATTTTAATTAACAGGCTGAGATTCCCCCACTTAATTTGCCTTTCATCCATTCATTTATCCACCTACCACTCAGCCACCATCTACTACTTACTGAGTAATTGTCCTGTGCCTGGGACCGTGACAGGTACTGGATGAGCAAAGCAGGGCCCCTGTGTTCCCAGGCCTTATTTTAGTGGACTTGGGTTCCTTGTATTCAAGTGAGGATCCTTTAGCATGAAAACCTCATTTGTTTTACCATGAGAATTGAACATTCGCTACATGGTATATGCTGTTTTTCCCTTGTTTTGACTCTATTCCCTGTGCTGTACCTTTTATCCTTGTGACTTACTCATTGCATAACTGGAAGTCTATACCTTGCACTCCCCTCACCCATTCTGCCCATTCCTCCCCACCCCTCACCTCTCTGGCAATCATTGAGATTGTGCCTTTTGAGCATCATGTGTCTCCTTTCTTGTATATATATAAATAAGCAGAGGTACATATGAAGGTCTCCCTTTTAAAACCACCATGTTGTTTTCCTTAGTGTCTCCAAAGGATGATAGAAGAGATTTCATGTTGGAGGGCTAGGCTTGAGTAAAACCTTTTAATTTTATGAGATATAAGTCATGGGAATGTCTGACTAGAGCAGTTTATTAATTTTCATTCTCTGGAACTTGGGGGGTGGGGAGGAGTAAAGTAAGTACTAAATTTTTGAATATTTTGAGTATTGCCCTCAACCTGATATGGGCATTCTGACCAAATGATTTCTCGGGGTCTCTTTTAACCCAGTAAATTTTACTTAAATGTCTTTCCATCCTTAACCTTCTGATAACTTAAAATTCATTGGAATACTCTAGAACATCTCTTTGATGTTAATAACATTCAAGTTGTTAATATTTTATCCTTAAAACATGTATAGAAGGCCCTTGTGGTTTATAAGTGTGGGCATAATATGTCTCGTGTTAACTGGGAAAGACCAGTACTCTCAGCTGTGAATACTTGGACCCAGACTGAAAGAGACCATTTGTAAAGTCACCGATCTGTCCATGTCTACAGAGCGGGTGATGGCTCTTGAGGACGCCATCAGCTGCCTCCAAATGATTCAGAGTGTGACCTGATTAGATGGGAACATTGGTACGTTCTTCATGAACTGTATATACCTGAAAAAAAACAGAAACTTAAGTTCATTAAAAAATCCCTCTTAATTCCTATCCCTTTATCACCCTCCACCACAATCTTTTTTTTTTTTTAAGATTTTATTTATTTGAGAGAGAGAATGAGAGAGAGAGAGAGAGAGCACAAGAGGGGGGAGGGTCGGAGGGAGAAGCAGACTCCCCGCTAAGCAGGGAGCCCGATGTGGGACTCAATCCCAGGATTCCAGGATCATGACCTGAGCCCAAGGCAGTCACTTAACCAACTGAGTCACCCAGGCGCCCTCCACCACAAGTCTTTAAAAGAGCCACTAATAACTGCACTAGCATTTATAAATCATTTCCGTCGCAGAGGAATGCAGGCCTTGGAATCCTCCAGGTCTTCTCTGGCCGCTACATCAAGCCACTTACGATGACTCCCTGGGTACCATGGTGTGCAGAAGGGCCCGGGGTTGAGCAAGAGATCTGGTTTTAAGAACTAGCTCTAGTGCTCGCTTCGGCAGCACATATACTAAAATTGGAACAATACAGAGAAGATTAGCATGGCCCCTGCGCAAGGATGACACGCAAATTCGTGAAGCGTTCCATATTTAAAAAAAAAAAAAAAAAGAACTAGCTCTAACATTTCACTGTGCCACCTTCCTTGGTCACAGATATTTCCCTCAGTTTTCTCCTTTGGAAAACAGGCGTAAGAACTCATCATTGAAGGAATAAGTGCTTGGCCAGCTCATAGAGCTATTGTAAAGAACGAAATGATAACATTTGTGAAAGTGCTTGTAAAATGCAAAGCCCTGATGAAGTTACTTATTGCATCAACAGTAGTTGTTCGGATAGAAGTCAGACTGGTGAGCTCTTGAGCAAGCCTTGTCAGTGTGAGTTGATTTTCTTATCTTCGACAGTCACTGAGTTCTCATTTGTGGTCCAGGTTCATGCATGTCATCGAAGACAGAATATCAGGAGCACTTCCTGTCACCCTTAAAAGTGCCCCAGTTTGGGTGGCCACCCCCCCCCTTCAGTCATCCCGGCAGGAGGTTGAAAGCAGAGTGCAGCAATATTCTGTTGCTCTGAAAACTTTTCCTTCTGACAGTGTTAGATCTATCAGGAAACGATGTGAAATGTTCATAATGTTCATGTACTTCCTGTACCTTGATTTTGCTCCAGGGTAAAGTGATGTGAAGGATGGAGAGGGAGAATTCTAGAACATTCACTATTTACTTGGAACTATTGAATTTTTTCATTTTTGGAAATCTAGCTTGAAAGATAATTTTTATCAGTTTTTGGTTATGAAAACTGACTGCTTAGCATTAATTTTCTTTTTAATCTATTATCAAATACAAGATTGCTGTTTGTTTGCCCCATTGGTGCATGTTAGTGGAAGTTTAAAGGCTCTGAAAGTTAGCAAAGGTTGTTTGCTCCTTTATTCAACCGATGCTGACTGAATATTCTCCTTTCTAGCAGATGGGAATAAGCAGTGAACAAAACAAAAGGCTCTGTTCCTCCCCACCCTCATTCACACCATCTTTAATCTGCTATAAGTATTATTGACATTCTAGCACCAGAGTGACTCTCTCTCTATGTAATCAGAAGGATGGAAACAGAATCTAAACTGAATGCCTTGGGGCGCCTGGGTGGCTCAGTCAGTTGAGCATCTGACTCTTGGCTTCAGCTCAGATCACGATCTCAGGGCCCTGAGATGGAGCCCCACATCGGGCTCAGGGTGCTCGGCACAGAGTCTGCTTGAGATTCACTCTCCTTCTACCCCGCCCCCAAAAGAAATAAATAAATAAAATCTTAAAAAAAAAAACCTGGGGCGCCTGGGTGGCTCAGTTGGTTAAGCGACTGCCTTCAGCTCAGGTCATGATCCTGGAGTCCTGGGATCGAGTCCCACATCGGGCTCCCTGCTCAGCGGGGGGTCTGCTTCTCCCTCTGACCCTCTTCCCTCTCTTGCTATCTGTCTCTCATTCTCTCTCTCTCAAATAAATAAATAAAATCTTAAAAAAAAAAAAAAAAAACCTGAATACCTTTGTCCCTCTACAATTCAATATTTTCTAATGCCAGGTTCCTAAACCAATCAAAATCATCTAGCATATCACAATCACCATGTCCTAAGTCTTTACTTCCTCAAAATCTGATTCCAAAGTAATAGTGATTATCATTTCAGCACTGATCTCAAAAGAAGGTCAGTGGGAATCATTGGACATATAAGCATCGGCCTTATTTATAGTGATTAATTGATATATTTGTGCAGCACTATGTGCAGCCTTGTTTCTTATATGATCAGGCAGGATGCAGTTTATTACATGTGATGAGCATAATCTTCATATGAAATAATATTACAGAAATCACCTCTTGTGCTATTTTTCCAACTGCGTATTATAGTGCGTAATTGGGTTATTGATAACAGTTATTGATTTGGGGCCATCAGGGTTGGTTTGGGTTAGAAGAGGGTGATGGTGTGTGTGTCCCATATGTTGTTTTTAAAATCTTCCTTTCAGAATTGTTCTTCAAAATTTTGCATGTAATTTGGCATGTACTGGAAAGTAAGCTAGAAATGTCACATCCTTCATATCGATAGTCTGTGGCAGAATTTATAAACATAATTCCAAGTAGTTAATTTTTAAAGTTAGTTAGTTAGTTAGTTAGTTAGTTAGTTAGTTAGTTAGTTAGTTAGTTAAAGAAAGCACGAGCGCCGGGAGAGGGGCTGAGGGAGACAGAGAATCTCAGGCATGCTCCGTGCTGAACACAGGGCTTGATCTCACCACCTAGAGATCATGACCTGAGCCCAAATCAAGAATCAGACACTTAACTGACTGAGCTACCTAGACGCCCCTAAACTATTTTATGGAGACTTTCTGTGATGTGCTTATGCATCTTTTTAAATAAAGTTGATTTTTGAGTTTTATAGTTAAGTGTTTATGAACGGGTAAACCTCATTATTTTAATGAATATTACTTAAGTGGTAGGTAATCATTAAAGGTTTATTCTAACTTCATTTTGACTTGTTCTCGGATAGTTCTTTCTTAAGAATGGCATTTGCCATGCTATCATTTCTTTTCACCAGAAACAAATGACAGTAAAGCACCCCCATGTATGGCCCATAACCGGGTGCCTGAGCTGGAGTCCACATGCCCATTTTCAGATTTCAGAAGTAAACCTTTTGGGGCCAGGAGCTATATTTTCTTACACAAACAATATTTGAAATCTAATAAATAATCTGTAAATCTGAGAAGTATCATAAAAAGTGTGAGCTACTGAGGGGTCCTTTTACCAGTTTTTAAAAATCTTACCTTAAAAGGAAGGAAAAGCATAAAACACCATCACTTAGTCTTGCTCATGATTCTCACTGCCAGGTTTATGCATGCTCCTGATGGGCCTTTGTACAGTTTCTGTTTCCCCTGGATGTACAAATTCTGTGACATTTAAGAGGCCTTTGGGATGGAGGGCCTTTAGATTTGCTGATGAAGCACTACCATGCTGTCTAAAATATTGTCCCACTAGGTTTCTATTTTTAACATGAGATCTTAAAAAATATGTCAGTTTAAGACAGGAGAAAATAAACCTGATCTTAAGGTCATCATCATCATCATCATCATTTTTTTTTTTTTAAAGATTTTTATTTATTTGAGAGAGAGAGAATGAGAGAGAGAGAGCACATGAGAGGGGAGGGGGTCAGAGGGAGAAGCAGGCTCCTTGCTGAGCAGGGAGCCCGATGCGGGACTCCATCCAGGGACTCCAGGATCATGACCTGAGCTGAAGGCAGTCGCTTAACCAACTGAGCCACCCAGGCGCCCCATCATCATTATTATTATTTTGCTTGTTTGTATAGTAGCAGAGGGAACCCGTTAGTATAGCTCTCTACTGGGAAACCCCCAGCAGTGTCTCACTCCGAGTACAATCCAGAGTCCCCACTGTGACCAGAGAGCCCAGTGCTGTGGCCCTCGTGTGTCTGGCCCCATTGCTTACGATCTCACTCCATTCCAGGCTCTTAGATCTACCCGTTTCTTGAGCACATTAGGTGCTCTTAATCTCAGGGCCTTTGTGTTTGCTTTCCATCTCCTGGAATATCTGCACATGTGTGTGTCATTTCCATCAGGGTTTTGCACATAAAAGTTACATCAGTTAGGCCTCCCTTGGCCCCTGTCTAAAATGTTAAACATCCCCCTTCCTGCCATGTCACAATCCCCTTTGTTGCTTTGTTGTCCCCTTAGCATTTATCTCAAACTAACATTCAGTATATTTTCCCCTTTTTCATTTTTTTAAAGATTTTATTTATCAGAAAGCACGTGCAAGGAGGGGGAGGGGCAGAGGGAGAGGGACAAGCAGGCTCCCCGCTGAGCACAGAGCAGCCGAGTGGGGCTCCATCCCAGGACACTGAGATCATGACCTGAGCCAAAGTCAGACGCTTAACCAGCTGAGCCACCCAGACGCCCCAACCCCTTTTTTTCATTCTATATCTCTTATTTAGCCTGTTTATAAAATTCTCCCTGAGTAGAATGCAGTCCCCACCAGGGCAGAGATTTTTTTTTTCTTTCTTGACTGCTTTCTTTTTGGCACCTAGAATGATGCCTCGTGCAGAGTTGATGTTCAACCTGTGTTCAGTGAATGAATGAGTTAACTGAGGCTTATGTGTGAGGCACCATAATTAATGCCATTTCAAGTATTTCATTTAGTTCTTACAGTGAGGTGAGATTGGTTCTATTTATTCTCATTTGGTAGATAATAAATAAAAATCCAGGGGGCTCCTGGGTGGCTCAGTCAGTTAAGCATCTGCCTTGGGCTTGGGTCCTGATCCCTGGGATTGAGCTCCACGTCGGGCTCCCTGCTCAGCAGGGAGCCTGTTTCTCCCTCTCCCTCTGCCTGCCAGTCCCCCTGCTTGTGCACGCTCTCTCTCTCTCTCTCTCTGTCTAAAATAAATAAATAAAATCTTTTAAAAAAATATCCATGAAACCCATGCCCTAATTAACTTGAGACTTAGAGAGTTGGTGAGTAACTCAGCCAAATTTACATAGCGGGTGAGAGAACAGAAAGTGAACTCTTGTGTGTGTGACCTCAGAGCTGGACTTTTTACATCCAACTGGTGAACCTCTATCCAATAGAAATTCACTTACGATTCTGTCTGCTGTTGAGGAACAGACTTTTTAAAGAATAAAAATGATAAAAGTTCACTAGCTTAGGAACACAAAGCATTGTATATATTGCTGGATAGAAAGTCAAAAGGCTGCAGTTACGTTTTTACATCATGGGTTTTGGGGGGGGCGGGCTGTGTGTCTTTTTATTTTATTTTTAGAACTTGTTTCCCATTTTTGTTGAGCTAGAACTGACATACAGCACCCTGTAAGTTTAAGGCATGCAGCATAATGACTTGACTTACCTGTATTGTGAAATGATCACCACAGTCAGGTTAACATCCCTCATCTCATATGGATATGGGAAAGAAAAAAAGGGGGGGGTTCTCCTTGTGATGAGAACTCTTAGGATCTACTTTCTCATACAATGTTTTTAAACGGGAGAAAAATGCTTGGAAATTCCAGAAAAAAATTGTAATAATAAAGTATATCACTGAAACTATAGTCCTGTGTACCAGTTGTAAGACATAGTAATATTTTATTCATAGAATTTACTAGACAAAAAGATAATTACCAAACTATATCATCATGAGAAAATCTGCTCTTCTGCTCATGTGTTTTCCCTCCTTTTCAGACCCTCCTCCCGTGCTTCGGGTGGACGACCGGCAGCGACTGGCCAGGGAGCGACGTGAGGAGCGCGAAAAGCAGCTAGGTATCCATCCCCAGCCTCAGCTCATCGTTCAGGGACGCTGTTGTTGAGGTGTTACTTTTCACCTCGAGGCTAGTGGACACTTACCATTGAGCACCCAGACATCACTATAATAACCATGCTCTCTGCCTTTATGAGTTGTACAGGTGGATGTGAAACAGAATTGAGTATGTGACAGACACATAGGACTAAATTTTAAGTAACAGGAAAGCCCAGCCCAGGATTAGGGTCATTTTCACTTCTTTTACTGTTTAATGTGGCACTGGAGAGAATGTATATATGACAGGCATGATGGCTCAGCTTATCTTTTACAGCTTAAAAACAAAACAAGGACAGTAAGCTTATGGTTCTCTTTTATGTGAACAGTCATAAGCATATACACTGCTAGGGCACGTCCTACTTTCCATGATAAAACCATGCTGCTGCTGAATTTATAGACAGATGCAACCAGCATGCTGCCAAGAAAAGTGCAAAACCTAGTGCTGAGCTGTCGGATTTTTCTTTGCTACCTAAGGTCTTTGTGAAAGGTTAGCAACTGTGGTATTGGCCGTACCATCACCTGGAGAGCTGTGTCCTGAGGACGACCTTACCGGGAAGCGAAGATCAAAGCACCACTGTCTTCTAGAACATTGAGCAAGGATGCTAGTGCTCACTCCTCCTTTACTTTGATGTCCATTTATGCCAAACTGCTAAAACAGGATACTCTCCTTAAGGACCTTGGAAAGATGAAATGTCCAGTTAGCATGTCTCAGTGTTCCCAGAATGTCTCTGTCATTTAAAACTAGGACTGACTGAGGTGGCCAGCATATTCCCAGGGGATGACCCATAACTTTTCTAGAGTTCCACCGCATTTTATAAGAATTCGTGTTTCAGTGGGAGAACCCAGCACCTATGCCCCATCTTTTGTTCTAGTCCACAACCCAAATTTGTGAAATTGACTGGAAGCTGGTTTTCAGAAATCTGTTGCCATTACTTAATTCTTCCAACACAGGCCTTTTTCCCTCTCCTTTGCCATAATGGGCATGCGAGGTCAGTTCTTTTGCTGCCAAGGTCTTTTCCACACCAATTTCAACAACTTGGTGGAAGGGAATGAGCTCTGCCGCCTTTCTGTGCCTGGACTTACTGCCCAGGCTTGAAATTCCCTATGGCTGACAGGCTTCCTGCCCGCGGGTAGATTCCTGGCAGCAGGGCTCTCTGTGGCCATGAGGCTGATGCTTTCCCAGAAGCACTCTGCAGCCTGGCTATCTTCCTCCTGGGAGCTATGCCCACTGCTCCCTGATTCAGGTTGGTTTGACAAGTAGATCAGAACAGAGGAAAAGACAGAGCTACCCAAGCAGAAAGAGATTCCAGATAAGCAAAAAGAAGAAACTGCCCACTGCTCTGGGATGGCTGGTATTTGCACTGTCTTTGGATCTATCCAAGCATGAGCACTTGAGTTCTCTCCCCTCTCTGCCTCATCTGGTGGGTCAGGTCTTAACGCTATCCAATCTCCCCTTTGAGTTGCAACATGGATTCCTATCTGCTTGAGTAGAAGTAGCTCCAGAGCATCAGGAGACTCCTTTATGATTTATGTCCCATTGTGAATTAGCTTTTACACATTAACTCATACATACCTTCCTGTTTGGGTTTGTCTTTCAAAGCCAAGCACTATTTGGTGTTTTTTGTTTTTTGTTTTTGTGGAATGTATGAACATGCTGGTCAAACAAAAATGATTTCACTTCTTATTCTATGAAGTTATAAGACCTAGAGTTTTGAGCCTGCACAGTCTCCTGCAAGTTGCCTAGCTTTGTATGTTGAGTGGCTCGATTTTTGTCTTAAGGTGTAGCCCCATATTTTAATTCATATCCACAGGGCAGCACACAACTTACTAATTTTAAATTCGAAAACCGTGTTTGCCAGGTACAGTGTTCAAAAGATAGAGATTGAGACCCAACCTTCAAGGGCTAGCTGCAGAGTAGTGGGGAGGGAGATAAACTTACAGCAATTATAATATGAGGTGGTATTGAAAGGGTGTGCACACGGGTCGGTGAGAACCCATAGAAGCACCTAACCAGCCTGCAGGAATCACGTGCCACTGGAGTTCCCCACTAGAGGATGTGGACCTGCTATCTAGGAGGATGGAAGAGACAGAGACTATAGAACAGTGACACAGGGATAGGTGGGAGAAGGCATTTGCTAAAGAGACTCATCATGCTCCGCGGATTATATTACATGGGTCAAAGTAATTTTCAGGTGATTGTATTATCCTGTTACTACACCTGGACTGTTTTAGTGAGCCAGCATATAATATACATAGTTTTTCTTCTTATCCCTGCCGTGTTAAATATCATGGTTTCCTTAATTCTGATCTTTTTTTGTTGTCAAAAATCACAGTTTTCATGAAATACATCAGTCCTAATTTTTATTTTTTATTTGCATTAATTGCATTTTCTTTTAAAAAAAATTTTTTTTAAAGATTTTATTTATTTATTTGAGACAGAGAGAATGAGAGAGAGAGAGCACATGAGAGGGGGGAGGGTCAGAGGGAGAAGCAGGCTCCTTGCTGAGCAGGGAGCCCGATGCGGGACTCGATCCAGGGACTCCAGGATCATGACCTGAGCCGAAGGCAGTCGCTTAACCAACTGAGCCACCCAGGCGCCCCTCTTTTTAAATTTTAAAGCAATGTCTTTTTGCCTAATTTTTTCCACTTAAGCCATCACAGCAGCAACTAAACATTGAGAGGCTCTCTTCAGTCTTCATAAACACATGAATAAACATACATGTAAGCACACATAAATATATTTGTAGAAGTGTTATCTAAAACCTAGCATCTAACTTAAATTGTGCCTTACAGTATATAAAGGTGATTTCTAAAAAAAATCGTTAGTACTAAAAATCAAAGGGCACACCTGAGCAACTACCCTTCAACTGTGCTTTGCAGAAACTATAATGGCAGTGGAATATTTAAAAAAGAAAGGGTGAGGGACTGTCACTTAGTAACAGCTCTCTGGACTGTGCTTTTTAAAAACAAAAACAGTTGGTAATACCAACTGCTACCAGGCTTTCAAACTTTAAAGCTTTTCAAGTAAAAAAAAAAAGTCCATTCCATAAATTCCAACAAAGCAAAGTTTTAAATGATTGGCCATTGAGATTGGATTATTTACTGTTGGATGTAGGTTGAAATTGACATTGAAATAATTAAAAATTTTTGTTTTAATCCACAGTTTTGAAAAAGCAAGGTAGAGAGGGAGAATAAAGTTCTTTTTGTTTTGGGTGGGCATGTCATATTTGTACTATTTTGTAAACAGAAAGGACCTATTAATAACTTTCTGTGGGTTAAATCTCTGAGTCATGCTATAATGCTTTTATGGTAGGATTATGTCATGTGGCTTGTTCTTTCTACATTATCCTTCAATTTATCACATAAAGCCAGGTATAATTCTTCATATTTGGGACTGTTCTGTCCATTTGGTTGAGCACACGTACTGTGAAAGCTTTATTTTTCTGTCTTAAAAGCTTTATACCTGAAGGAATCTCCCTAACCACTCTATTCCATCTGATTCTCTTCAGGCCATTCCTTCAAACTCTCTTCTCTTAACTTCTGTATCATTTTTCACCATCTCTCTTCCACGCTTTAATCTTTTTTCCTAAGGGAAAAAAAAATTCATTTGTTCTCATTGGTTTCGACTCTCCTTTTTTGATGAAATGGGTCCTACACATTCATTTGCTCATAAGGTAGTAGATGCTTCCCCATTATCTAAAAGTCAGCTTCTGTACAACTAACTTGCTCATCAACTTTCATTCCAAAACCGACTCCTCTGGGTAATTTTTGTGGCCCGATCAATTGCACCAGTATTTTTCTGGCCCCAAGAAGTAATTTCTTTCAGCTGTTTTTGGTACTTGTACTGTTGCTGGAGACACTGGCGTCTTTCTGACCACCAGTCTTAGCTGTTGGATCTTTTGCATTGTAAAACACTTTTTTCTCTTCCTTGGTGTCCCAGTACTGGGCCCTGACTAGTCTCCACCCTGGCCTATTGGGCCACTTGAAGTTACCAGTGGTGAGTCGGACTCAGCCTAGTCCTCAAGCTGGACCTTCAGCCATCTCTTGCCTAGTAGGTAGGTGGAAGTCGCCACATTCTCTCTGTCCCTCAGTCCAGTTAGTCATAAGAATAGCTGGCGCTATCTTCAAAATAAATCTCAGGTCCTGCCTTTAAATGTGCTGCCTATGCTATCGTCCTCGTCCAGGGCTTCATAAATTCAGGTCTTGGTCACCAGAACGATCTCACCGATGTACTGCATTTCTCCAGCTGTGTTGCAGTTGGTGCTGTTCCCTCTTCTGAAGCCCTTCCTAGTCTTCATGGCCTTTCCCCTTTTGGAAATTTGATCATGTTCTCGCTCTACAGTCTATTTTGCATAACATCGTATTTTAGCTCTCATTCTAATGCTGTTGTATGCTCTCCTGAACTTTTCCTGGTTGAATTTTATGTAACTTCTTGGTTCGTATGTTTTAAACTTTTAAAGGGTGTGACTGACTATAATTTGCTAATTCTTTGTATCCCAATACATGGCATGGTACTAATTATTAAACAGACATGTAAACATTTGCGGATATTCCTTACTCTGCGGTCTTTGATGAAATATTATTAATAATAATGGGCCAAACAACATTATACATTGCATTATCACATTTAGTAGCAAGTTAACACCATGGTTGTACTTTTTATTGTGTAGGCCTGCCATAATTGTTAATGTAATTTATTTTATAGAATAGCATTTATTTTATTTTTACACTGTGATAAGTTAGCTTAAGGAAGGAACTGAGAGGATGCCTGGGTGGCTCAGTCATTAAGCGTCTGCCTTGGGCTCAGGTCATGATCCCAGGGTCCTGGGATCGAGCCCCGCATCGGGCTCCCTGCTCGGCGGGGGGCCTGCTTCTCCCTCTCCCACTCTCCTTGCTTGTGTTCCCTCTCTCGCTGTGTCTCTTTCTGTCAAATAAATAAAATAAAATCTTAAAAAAAAAAAAG